TCTCTCTCTCTCTCTTCCTCTCTCTCCTCTCATCGTTGTGAATGTTCACCTTCGTCTGTTTTCTCTTGAAATCCTCTTTTCGTTTCGGCTACGTAACCTTTCGATTCCATCGAATGCCACGGCGAAATTAATAACGGGTTAGCTGTCGATCGCTCCGAGCATTAGTCACGGCGTTTCTTTTGTCTTTCATCTTCATCGGTATCAACGCGATCGTTAAACCGGGATCATCTTCGTGTTCGCGGACTTCGTGTTCCACGGCTCGTCTCCGCAGGCAGTCCAATAATAGCAGCCACGTGATTTAGAGATCCAGTTTAGCGTGGGTGGGGATCCGACAAATCGAATCGGTTGCTCGTTCGCGTGTTCGAGGAATGTCGGATCGAGTCAGTCTCTCTTCTACGCTCGCGTGATATTCCCGCGAGGTAGAAAAGAACGATCGTCCGGACTCCAGGCGGATAATCGTCCGTGAAACGCGACAGCCGGCTCGACAAACGCGTCGACTCGTTCCTCGAATCGGCCGCTCGTGCCAAACGTCCTGACCCGAAAACGGACCCTTCTAACTACCCTCTTGCGAAACGATACTGACCACGATCCCGGCGGTCGTCGCTCGGGCTCCGGTCCCGTGTCCGACCACTGAACAAATTGGTCCTCCTTACCGCTCGCGCATCGATCCGGATGAATCATCTTCTCGGATGTATATCTCTTCTTCACCGAAGACCTCGTAAAGTCTCATAAAGCCAGCGCGAGTCGACTATCTCGCGATAGGGTGCCATTCAGCAGTCGCGAGAAAGAGTCGTCACCTAGCGAACGATTGCCTCTGGGACATTCATTTTATTAACTCGACAACGAATTACTTATGGCTGGCACGGTGCGGCGGAGCGGGGCGGGTCCACCCCAGCGCAATTTCATCAGGAACTGTGATAATTATCGTTCAGGCGATAATTAGCGCCGCCTCATTAACGACGTTGCGCACTTTATTCACAAAATTTTCGTCGGCCGTATTTTTAGGAACGATGTCGCTCCTCGTTCGTTTCCGGGTCATTTACGCCGCGAACCACACCCCGTTTGCCAAGATCATTTCGATAGTCGTCGTCGAGTCGACGGCAGATAACGAGGAAAAAAGGCGGGCCGCGTCGACTTGCAGGGGGGGGCGTGAACTTCGTCGCTGTGCCTTCTAAGATCGACGCGTTATTAGGCGGTCGCGTCATGCGGTAACGAGCGTGGCCAAGTAAACTTTGGTCGCGACGAGACGCGATGATTAATTAAAAACATAATTAGTCGCGACGTTCGGGAACCACCCATAGCCCGCCAATGTACCGTGAAATTGTCAACCACCTTGTTTCTCTTTCCCGTCTTTCTTCACGTTCGGACGTCGTTCGATCTTTCTCCGGTCGCAGCGATCTCGTTAAAGACGCTTATTTTCTCGAGTCTCCATTCGGGAACGAGCGTGGTCTTCGTGGGAGTATCGAACTTACTAACGAGCTCCTCGCGATTCTCCCCGTCTAATTTGTCTCTTCGACCGAGGACCGAGTTACCTCGTTACATCCGCTTCGTGTATATATATATATATTTTTTTTTTCTTTTCACAAGCATTAACACGAGCACGACGTAATTCATCGTTCGTAGACGAAGAGTACGTTGCTAGACGCGTGAAGCTGAAGACCGCATTCATCCGAGGGAATACCGATTCTAATGGTAAAATATCTTTCCGGCCGCGTCCGCTCCCTTCTTTGTCCTTATTTCCGCGCGGTTCTCGTGTATCTTCGCGACGGCCAAGATATATTGTTATTAAATGGTCTCCCTTCGGCGGCGCGCACACGCCAGTATATTACGTTGCGGGGCTTCTTCTTCGTTGCCCTCGTACACGCACGAACGACGGACAGCCCGCACGCAGTGCCTAATCTCCCGCGCGTGGAACTGTTCTCTTATTTACGGTCGATCGGCATGCGAGTCTACCGTCAACTTCCGCTCGAAATTCGTCGCAATAGAGGGAGAGAAAGTGACGATTGAAAGTTCGGAAGAAATAAGCGAACGCATAGGCTGAAAGTAGAGAAACGAGCGAGCAGAAGAAGCAGCGGGGAGGTTAATTGAAAAGCAGCGGAAGGGTGTCATTAAATAAACCGCGGACGTTGCTGCGGTTTCGCGGCGCTACTGTTCGCAGGCTCGGTTTCGCTGCCACTTTTGGTAATGAACTAATATTTGCAATGTCCGTCCGGACGGCAGTTTCCGCGCGTACACGCGGCTGGCAGCGCTTGCCTTTTGCCCCGACGAAACGCGTGGAAGTGCGTGGTGCGCGCGTCGAAGGGTGCGCTCTCTACGGCGAAGTTAGCTTTCAACAAATACGCGACCCTCGCGGCCACGAGCACGTACCACCGGGAAAGAACCATCAGGGGGTTTCGAAGGTTAGGGAACGACCGAAAATTCAATCATCCCGCGGCAAGGAAGTGCCTACGCTCCGGACGATTATTCGTAACGCATCGACGAATTGGCCACCGAACTCGATAACGTTCGGATGAGGAACGACGAGAGAAAGAGACGTGGAAACGTCGATGACAAACGAGCGGAAAACGGTCACTCGAAGAGGGTAATCGTTTCCCAATTGAAATCCAATAGCAAACGACATCCAGGCAGCGGTCGTTTCTCGCCCCTCGTGAAAGACCGAACGCCCATCCCCGTGTTCGTCCATTGATCATCGGTCTAAACTGTTTCTGACGCGAATTATGCGGATGGAGGTGGAAAAAGTGTTGGCTGGCAGGAGATCGCGAGCCACCAGCTCGCCCGGTGGCGCGGACACTCGTGGAATTTTCAAGAATTTAAATAATATCCTTTTATATTATCGAGGATGCGCTGAAAGTAGCAGCGAGCAGGGTCGTAGGTTCGCGCGGCGGCTATCATAAATCCAGTGGTTGCGCTGCAAGCGGAGAGAGAGAAAATCTACAATTCTAAAGCTTTCCATAAAACACTCGACAAAACGCTTCGCCCGCGGTTTTCGAGTGGCTACCGGGCCCCTTCTCCATCGCCTCCCTCTCCACTTTTCCCGCGTCTTCCCTGCCACGTCCGCCGCCTGACCCCCGCGCCGCTGCGAATCTGTTGAAATATGTAAAACCATGTAACCTCTTCAATTTACATAGGAACGAGTGGGCGCGCAGCTTCCCTCGGATGAAAAGTGGCCGATCCTCCTCTTATTAATTGATCGTCCGAAATCCGCCGATCCATTTTCCACCCCTTCGCGGAAAAACCCTTTTGACCACCAATTTCTCCATCTACCAGTTTCCGACTTTCCCTCGGTTGGACAAACAGGAGAAGGAAAAACACGACTGCTATTTGGTCGTACAGTCACGAGGAATTTCATGAGAGGACAAAAACGGGGGCGAAACTAAAAGAGGAACGTTGTCTCACGTGATAGCCGTCCATCATCGCGCACGACGAAAGCCTTAACGTCGCGGATACGACGCGTAAATACACGTGTGTATTGCCGTTGATACAACTATCATTTTTTTTTTTCTTTTGACCGTCGACAGTAATCGCAGTTGCTCGTTTCGTTTCCCTTCCACCTCCGTCTCTTTCCACTTTGTCTACGCTTTCCCCTCTCTCTCCCACTCGCCGGTTTCTATATAGGTTTCTCTGGTGGCGCGCGTTCTCTCGCTGCTATCCGTGATCCAGGGCGACGGCACGCCGTTGCCACTGGTATTTCGAAACTCGCTGAACAAACAAGCGCCGATAAAAGTACCGCGGTATATAGTACATCTGGAAGTAGGGACCATCAGTCACGGCGCATCTGCGAACCACTTTCCTTCCCGTCCCCCGCCGCTACTTCCACCGCCGCCTTCACCGTCGCTGCCACTACCTCCTCCGCCCTCGCTCGTTCTCCCTTCGCGTTCCGACGGCCCCTGCGGGAGTGCAGCGGGTGTCCCGAACTTCTCCTATCCACCCACCGCGCCGCTAAAAACCATTTGTCATCGGCCGCGTAAATATGTTCTCGAGCGAAACGTGCGTTCGACTTTTTTCTCTCGCCCACGGTGTTACGCTCCGCTCACGGAAATTCGAGTCTACGCCAAATGACGATGGTCGATCGCGACGCGACCATCCATTTCCTGAACGCCTCCTACCTTTTTTTCATCGAACGGGGATCACTCACGAATCCGTCCGTACGTTTCTTCGATCGTTCGCGAATTTATTTTTTATGGACTCGTGTCGCACGCTAGTGTCTCACGTTATCCGATCCGTTATTCTCCATTGACAGAAACAAAATCTCATCCGGCCGCGTGTATGTTTTCGCAAGCTTTCATAATCAAACGGGCCCGCGTAATAGTTTCTTGGCATTGTACCAGAATCGCTAGTCTCGTTTATCGCGGCACCGAGTACTTAAATAAGCAAGCGCGTCGGAGATGGACGGCGGGAAGGCGAGCAACGAGCTACGCGGGCAGAGTTTATCTTTATTTCGACGAGCTCCGCATCCTCGTCGGGGGAGTAGCTTAAAAAGTTGGTCTAATAAAACCCCGGCCCATTTGTCAAGGGGGGGTGTTGCGAACCCGGTTCCCGAAGGCTGTTGCGAAATGTATGTAAAACACATCTCGGTCGGTTCGCGGAGTCGTAACACGGAGAGCGCGGGCGGTTCTGATGGGCCGACATCTAAAATAATAAAAGTTGCCTCCGTCATTTGTCAACGGTTTCTCTAAGGAGCGACTACTTCCAACGCCACCTCGTAATTTCGCGATGTCGCAGCTGCTACCCCCTCTCCACCTCTCCATCCCTTGCTTCTTCCACCCCCGAAGATGTTACGCGATTCCCGACCTTAATTTTCCCGACACCCGTCGCGTCACACGGCTGCTTCTTCTTCCCTCAAAGCACGATTTATTCCAAACGCCACACGGCAGATACGTAAATTCCAAGTTTCCTCGATTATTGTTCAATGTTGGACATTGTCTGAATAAAATATTTGAAAAATGATTGTACAACATATGATCTTACTTGGCTCGATGTCATCTTGAAATAATTCCACGTTAATTTGTTCATTTTTTAAAAATTTTATTTTTATATTTGTTTCTACAAATAATTTCTCAAATAATTGTTTTTCTATTGTGTAAACTTCATCTTTTGCTGGGATTATTTGTTATTTTATTTCAACAAATTAACTGGAATAAAAAATTATTTGCAAATAATTTATTTAATCTGAAAAACGAAGCTTATCCTTCGAATAAACATAACAAAATAGTAGAAACGATTCATTTTTTCAATATTATCTTTTATTTTGATCATAAATAAAATTTGCCCAACTCTGTACTCGAAACAATATACTTTCTCTTACAGTTCTCAGCGAACTACAATTTTAACTTTTATACTTTTTTCTCAAAAGTTTTATATTCCATTTAGAAAGTAATGGGTAAAAGTTAACGAATTAACGATGCACAATAGTTGTGCATTGAAAAGTTGTTGTTTTAACAAATAAACTATCCAAAGATATCCAAACGCATACACTAATAAATAAACTGCGAATATTCATACATTTTTGGGAAATCTAAAAATCTGTATAAGTGATATCAATGTAATGTGCAAAAAATATATGAAATATCCAAATGCTTATTACAATGTTTAGTAGATCGAGTAATTAAAGTTCCATTTTTGTTCCAATTATGTTCGTGAAAAATATAAAATTGCATAAACATCCACAGTTCACTCGTAGACATAGTATACTCGTTCACATAGTATATGCATATACATTTTCAATTAATCATTATTTTGCCTACAATTTAAAAGTTGATCAATAATACGAATCTTTGTAAATATTTTCTCTGTAGAGGGAGATTATGTGCGGTTTCGAATAAATGAAGATACGACGATGTTGAACGTAGATTGAAAAGTATTTCTTTTCAATTTGAAACACCGGTTGAACTTTCAAAGGATGCAAACATTCATCGGTCGTGATGCTAGACGGTTGGACAAGCCGCATTTCGCAGAAAGTTTAATTAAAAGCGAACATGTGGGAGCGGCGCGGCACGAAGGGAAATAAACCGATACTATACTGACCGGTTGAATGTGACGCGCTCGGAGGTGACGCGGAACGAGGCTTCCCGGTTCTTTATGCGAGCCCGCTTTAATCCTTCGTCGGAGAAGGACGCGTCTTAAAGTGAAATAATAAATAAAATAATACGCGCGGGGCATCGGTGTCGGCTCGCGGTCCCGGCAATAACCTACGGAAACGAATGTGCCAGACGACTTTTATGAAACGTAGGGCCCCTTTTCTCCCAGCCCTTTTACGCGGTTGAAAAATAAAATCCCAACCCTTTCTCGGCGAGAAAGAGGGGGAGAGGGGGAAGCGCGCGAGAAACGAAACGGAGGCGGCCGGATAAAAGCTTAAATACGACCGCTGAACACCGGGGGCCGACAATAAAATTCGCGTAAACCATTCACTCGAATAATACACACCTGCTTTGACCATTACTCGGCCTGTTTTCGACTCCCGCCCGAGTCGATTTTCCCGCGATTTTCTTCTGCGATTTACGATTTCTGCCAACTGTGTTACTTCCGCCCGTGAATTTGCATAAAAAGCGCTGGGCCACATAGACGAGCGATTTTCCGCGATTTTTCGTCGAGCTTCAAGAATGAGGAAATCTCGCGGATCGTTTTCTCCGATGGAAGCGGTGTTCCCGCATTGAAAGAATGATCGAGCACCCCGGTGCCCGGGATAAGCGGTCCCGCTCTTGCTTCGTTCTTCCAGTTTATTTTCCAAGTAACCCTTCACATTGCGCTAATGTATTTCTTTGAAACCGCTATTCACCGCGTTGACGTTTCAATCCGGTCCATTCAACGTCCTTCAGCCGTTTCCCGGCTGAAACACTCACCCGATCGATCTAACCACCGCCGTCTATCGTGAATTTTCACACGACTTAATCCGTACGCTTTCTCTTCTTCCCCTCACCCTTCGGTGACTCGTACTTTTCTGCTCACTGTTTCTTTCTTCTGGCCCGCCTTTTTCCTCTTCTCTGTACGTCTTGCCACGGTATCGATCGAAAGG